TATATTTACATGCGCTCTATCTCTAATATTGAGCAGTTTATCTCGTAAATATAGTACACCTTAAAACTGTATTTCTTCATATATATGCAAATATATATAAATATTTATGCGTGTATGTGTGTGTGTGTAAACATATATTTGTTCTTTGATTTAATTTTGCCTATATTATTTTGACCTAACTTGGGAATGTATACGGAGTGAGTGTAAAGTGGAGAGAAAAAAAAGCGACGAAAAGAACAAATAATCACGACACCCGACACGCGCGCCCATCCGCGCAGGTGGGCGCACGCGCGCGGACGCAGACACGCACACATACACTGCGAAAAAAAAAATAACTTGCTTCAATGATAAGTGCATATAAAAAAGAAAAATGGAGAAGTATAAGCAGTCAAATGCTGATACCATCTGACGAGTGAACGAGTCCGTCTACGAAACTCTGGAGTCGGGATACTGAAGGTAACATCAACCATATAAGTGACAAAACTTTTATTTGTATTACTCAGTCAATCCCTATCTATCTATACCAGTCTGTTGATATATATATATATATATTTTTTTTTAAAATGGACAAAGTCCGACAATTTGTTTATTAAAGACATTTTTATGTTTAACGTTCTTTTTATAGATGGTATTTATCAATTCACCCACAGGAATTGAATGTGGCACAAGGCCTTTTTAATGTGGGTATGTCCGAGCCCGTAGGCCCAGCCAAAATAAAACCCATCTAAACCCGACCAAGCGGGCTAGTTCCGTCAACCTCCCTGAACGAAACCCTACCCTTCGGCAGAGCCTCGTCTGGGTTCCTCTGCAAGCAGAGAGTTCGACAGACACCCGGCTCGGCAGCTCCAAAGCGCAGATACTACACTTTGATCCTAGCCACCGGGCCGAGCGGGTATTCTTTTTTTTTAGATGGTATTTATCAATTCACCCACAGGAATTGAATGTGGCACAAGGCCTTTTTAATGTGGGTATGTCCGGAGCCCGTAGGCCCAGCCAAAAATAAAACCCATCTAAACCCGTCCAAGCAGGCTAGTTCCGTCAACCTCCCCTGAACGAAACCCCACCCTTCGGCGGAGCTCGTCCGGGTTCCTCTCTGCAAGCAGAGAGTTCGACAGACACCCGGCTCGGCAGCTCACAAAGCGCAGATACTACACTTTGATCCTAGCCACCGGGCCGAGCGGGTATTCTTTTTTTTAGATGGTATTTATCAATTCACCCACAGGAATTGAATGTGGCACAAGGCCTTTTTAATGTGGGTATGTCCGAGCCCGTAGGCCCAGCCAAAATAAAACCCATCTAAACCCGACCAAGCGAGCTAGTTCCGTCAACCTCCCCTGAACGAAAACCCCACCCTTCGGCGGAGCCTGTCCTGGGTTCCTCTCTGCAAGCCTCCCCGACAGACACCCGGCTCAGCAGCCCCACCACTTCAGCCACCGGAGCGGGTATTCTTTTTTAGATGGTATTTATCAATTCACCCACAGGAATTGAATTCCTCTCTGTCCGAGCGTAGGCCCAGCCAAAAATAAAACCCATCTCGACCAAGCGACGAACGAAGCCCCACCCTTCCGGAGCTTCGTCCGGGCTCGGCAGCTCGGCAGCTCACAAAGCACAGATACTACACTTTGATCCTAGCCACCGGGCCGAGCGGGTATTCTTTTTAGATACAAGTATTTAAGTAAATGCCCTGTTTATAATAAACAGTATTAAATAACATTTACCGGCCTGAATGTCCGAGAAATTTTCATAAAAAATATTCGTTCTTTGACAGGATTTCGAACCTGCATCTTATACGGAACCGTCATTTACGCTGACGTGCCTAACCTCTCGGCCACAAAGGAGCGTTCGGCTGGCAAGGTTGAATTTATATATATACTAGCCTCTTAATATCTATCTATCTATCTATCTGTTCATATCTATCTATCATGCGTGAATGCCTATTTTTATTAAATACTCTGTATTTTCTGTTTATTGCGAAAAGTGTGTCCATTTGTGCGTACCTTAACAGATTTAATTTCGTCGTCATGAAAGCGTTCGGTATGCGACGCATCGCGTGCATGTTGGCACTCGTCTGTGTCTCGGAATGTTTGGCACGGATTGCTCAAATATATATCTATTTAAGTGAGTAACAAAGCATTTTTTGTGATTCATGCAATTGTAGATGTGTCTTCAGGAAAAGGGCAAAACAGCCTCAGTGAGTGTGCGTATATGTATATATATATATATATATATATATATATATATATATATATATATATATATATATATATATATACTCACTGAGGGAGATATGTCCTTCACCAAATTCCGCCCTGAAATTGAGTTCAGATTTTATCTCACTCTCTTCTTAATAATCTTTGTAAAGTACATATCTATCTATCTATCTATCTATCTATCTATCTATCTATCTATCTATCTATCTATCTATCTATTTCTACCTGTTTATATCTATCTATCTATCTATCTATCTATCTATCTATCTATCTAATTCATTTTATATGTATCTAATTCATTTCATATCTATCTATCTATCTATCTATCTATCTATCTATCTATCTATCTATTCCTACCTGTTTATATCTATCTATCTATCTATCTATCTATCTATCTATCTATCTATGCCCATATCAGTCCTTCTATACCGGTCTTTCAATCGCTGTTCATATCTATCTATCTATCTATCTATCTATCTATCTATCTATCTATCTATCCCTACCTGTTTATATCTATCTATCTATCTATCTATCTATCTATCTATCTATCTATCTATCTATCTATCTATCTATGCCCATATCAGTCCTTCTATAGCGGTCTTTCAATCGCTGTTCATATCTATCTATCTATCTATCTATCTATCTATCTATCTATCTATTCCTACCTGTTTATATCTATCTTTATATCTATCTATCTATCTATCTATCTATCTATCTATCTATCTATGCCCATATCAGTCCTTCTATAGCGGTCTTTCAATCGCTGTTCATATCTATCTATCTATCTATCTATCTATCTATCTATCTATCTATCTATCTATCTATCTATCTATGCCCATATCAGTCCTTCTATAGCGGTCTTTCAATCGCTGTTCATATCTATCTATCTATCTATCTATCTATCTATCTATCTATCTATCTATCTATCTATCTATCTATCTATTCCCACCTGTTTATATCTATCTATCTATCTATCTATCTATCTATCTATCTATCTATCTATCTATCTATCCTATTATATATTTTTTAAGCAAGTATATTCATTTATTTACTTATTATTTATTTAAATATTCAAAATAGACAAGGTTGCCAAAATAATTTATTAATTCGATCGATTTTATTACTTAAAAGTTAATTTAATGGATGCCTATATTTGAGTGGACGCTCCATTTATTATTCAGAAATAAATTTATTTAACTATTATGATTCATGCACAGACAGAAAAATCATCGTAGACTTTCGAAATGCTTGCCTGAATGTTCAACACAAAGTTGTAAGTGCGGTAACCAGGTGGCAGTAGTTTTGCGTATAGTTTTCAAGAGAAATTTCATTCCAAGCTTCAGTGAAGAAATATCAACAATGGCACGACGACGGTTTTGCGAGGGATTTTAAAGTATACTCCCGATACAGTAATCCATAATAATCAATGGGCTTTTAGAGAGCCGCTGTGATAGACGAATTAGAATTGGTGTATTTTCTCGAATAATAAATTTGCCGCTATTTTTACTGGGCACCCTGTAGTAAAGTTGCCAATAATAAACTTTTAAAGCAAAATAACCAACAATGCATTTTACAGAAAAATTACCAACTATACATTTTATAGCAAAACTACCAACAATATATTTTAGCTGCTTGAGCACCTCGTGGTTAGCAAGCTTGTCTCGCTAGAACAATTACAACGTTGTAGCGAGTTCGATCATCACTTCAGGCCTTGTGCCACATCTAAGCTATGCTTGGATAATCTCTATATTTTATCTGTAGTTGAAGCCATAAAATTGTTTTCAAAATGTTTAGATTTCGGAATTAATAACCCATAGTGGTTGATATGCTGCTAAACAAAATCAACCAACCAATAATTATTTAAAAAAAGGAAAACAAAAAGAAAACAACAAAAAATCACAAAACAAAAAATACAATCCTGCGACAACCTAGAACTGTCTTTTTTATTATTATTATTGGAGTTTGCTACAAATGGGACAATTAATCAATTCTTAACAGCTGGGTCCCCTAAAAGTGTACCAATAATTCCCACCTTAGAATAACACGCTCACATTGGGCCCATTAATCAGATTTCGAAATCAGATATATTGTCCTTTATCTGGCCATAACCCTTTCATTCCTTGAATCAATCACCCCCCTCCAACATCTACCTGTTCCGTGTTATTGTTTCTTGAGATTTTGACACCTGTTCTATTTGACCCATATCTTGATTAGAAAATTCTTTGTTCAAGTTTATTACTCATCATATGTTGTGTGGTTTGGTCCTCACTGACATTGAAGCCTGTATTTATTTTACATTCTTTTATTTAACTATTTTTATCTAAATCCTATTTAAATCTTGAATTTATAACCTATTAACACACCCGATTTACTTTTTGGATCTCTGATATGAGGAGTTATCATTAATTAATATCCACATCATTTAGAAGTTATACTATCTAGCCTGTTTCAGTTATCTGTCGATCAGGCTAATCTTCAAAGAATTTTGATCTGAAACCTTTATTTAATCTACGGGTGTACATTGTTCTCGTTCTGCTGTCCATGTCGAGGGATAAACTGTATTGTTCATATTCCTTATGGCTCAGTTGTTGCTCGCGGATTCAGTTGGAAACTCCCTGAAGGCTACCCGGATCTACAGATACCTGAAGAAGTCGAGAGGGCACAACAATCGATTTTTATCGGGGTCAAATCATTTTCTAGGACTGGGGTGGATGGGAATGTTTAATACACTGTCATTTGAATTCAAATATTTAGTCAGTTTGCAACGTCCACTTTTTAAAACTCGGACTA